TCAGGCCGACTCCCCACTTCTTCAGTTTGTTTCAGAAACGATCTCCCCCATAAATTTTACATTTTGTGAAAGTGGCCCCCTACCTGATTGCTGTGGAAACTACCAATATTCTAGCTGCGAATTGTGCCGAAGTTCACCGAGGTCAACATACTTTATCTATGCAGTCGCTTTTATAAGATCGGTGTTTACTATTCATGACTGTCACATTAAACTTTTATGAAATTTATTTTCAATGACCCCCGAGAACTTAATCTTTTCCAAAATGGTATTTGTGATGAATAAACTTGCTCTTTACCATAGCGACGCCTTTTACATTGAACAATGCCATCTATAGAAAACTGACTTGTACGAGAACACGAATTCAAGCGATTGTTAGCGTTAAAAAGTAAGCGTTCCTGCATCAGAATGATCTCCGCAAATTTATTTTGCCTGGATAAAAGTTTTATTTTCAGCTATCAGAGCCTTTTAAAGACACTTTTCCCCGTATTTTGCGTCACGGTCGTTAACTAATTTTCACGCCGAGAATTCCTGACGACACTTAAGACTCGTAATTTCACCCTACGTGTTGTTATTCAGGCGAAGAGGAGTCCGCCAAGAAAACCTAAAAAGCTTGATAAATTCTACAACATATATCGTAAGATTGAGACCATAAAGGGACTTAGGGTGAAAGTTGGAGCGGTGCTAGGTTAGCTAAATAGAATCTAAAGGAAAACACATTAAACAACAAAAAAAGAAAACCGAGATAACTAGAAATAGAAAAAGAGAAAAGTGCAAAGAAATTATACTTAACTATGGCTAACACACACTGTACCACAGCGTATAACCTACCTCCCTTAAGTATAATTGTCACAAGCACGCACGCACACCCTTATTCAACACCTTTGGATTCACACCCAAACGATCTAAGAAGAATAATTTAAAATGATAATTAAGTGCGAACTCTTCATCGAGTCAACACACTCTGTTCAAAAGCAAACAAATCAATATTTGACAGAAACATTGATTTCAAGGACAAAAATCCCACAGTTTGGTTTTTATCTTAAGTCAAAGCTGTAACCGGATTGAAAGATGCGATTCAAATTCAATTATATCATTTGTTTTTTATAAAAACCCTAGCCTATTTTATGAAAGTGCTGAAGGAGAGATTGACCAAAATGTTACAGTTTTGCTAAGAACTCATCCAGAGAGATACTAAAAACGAAAAACAACAAAAAAAGCATTAATAAATTTTCTAGCCGCGTTTTTGCAACGCACGGACATGTAGTAACAACATAGATTTCTGCCATGACATTTATTCATTTAACTTTTCAGTCGGTATAACAGATGATAAGTGTTAAAAAAACTTTTTCAAATTAATGCTTTGTTTTCTTGTTAAAATAATAACACATCGGTTATGAAATTCGGTACAATTAAGATCAGGAACATAACTTTTATCAATGTTCCGTCTTACCATATGAAGTAAAGAAAAAACAAAAACAAAACACAAATGAGTCCACAACCAACGACTTAAACTAAACAATCAGACTCTCTGATGACAAATTAACCCAAAAAGCAAAGCAAAATAAAATAAAACCTTTCCTGTCCTATCATCACAAAGTACCAGTTTTACTTGTGACAATGCCGAAGGAACAGCTGACTTGTCATATATTTTCTCTTTAAAAGTATGGCTATGTCTCTTGTCGCAACATAAACCTGGTTGAAAAACAAACTCACTGTGTAAATGAGCAAGTTTCCTTCCGTTATTGGACTTGTTAATGACATTTTAAAGGATATTAACTTAATAATACGCATTTTTGTTTACATTTATAGGGCTTAACTTGAAATTGAAGACTACTATAACTTAATGATATTTCTCCTTGCCAGGATACAGGACCGGAATTGTTCACCCTAAACGGTAGCGCAGCTATGAATTTGCCAGAGGAACGCACTGTTTTCTAAATATATACACCTTTCCTGGTCTCCTGAATCGTTTTCACGCGGATGGCTTGATTAAATTTAGTGTGCGTTGCTTATGCATGGTAAGATAAACATCTTTATTACATAGATACTGATGAAATACCAGGATTTTTCCTTTTACTAAAAGTCATATCTTCATCACGCGAAGTGAAGATACTATTTTTTATCTTTCACGTGTGAGGATATTGGTGTCGCCATGGTTACTAACATAATTTTTCTCTTCTTCATTTGAATTTTTACCTTTTGGAACAGAAAATATAAGTATTATTGTCTTTATTTCTCCTTTATAACTTTATATCCGAGTTTCATAACATGTTTGTGACAGGCATTTTGCGATAGGTGATCACTTTAATTGCACTATTTTGGTGTTTCGAAAATGAATTTAAAAAAATTGTGTTTTATGTAAGAATTTCATCAGTCTCTATAAAATAAACAGAACATTACATGGCCCCTTGGGGATAAGAATTTTATCTTCGAGTGCTGAAAGTATCTCTCACGAGTGAGCGAAGCGAACAAGTGAGAGATACTTTCAGCATTCAAAATAAAATTCGTATCCCCGCGCGGCCATGTAATATCCTCTATTTCTTGGAAGGAGGATCGTGCTTTCGTGTGCTTTGATGGTTCCTTAGTAAGTGAAGAACGCGTTCTTCATTTGTGATTTAGTTTTTACAGTTGACCTGATAATCGGCCTACAAAAATGTTGTGTAATTGTGGTAACTGAATTCGGCAGGCTATCTTGTCGATTTGGCAATGATCTGACACGAAAAGCATCGGCCAAAGAATTGACCTCTGAGGAACAACAAAATGTACGCTTGCTTGATTTGACATCTGGTCATCTATTTGAACAAAGTGGGAACGATTACTTAGGTAGCTGGTCGATCACCCAAGAAAGGTCTTAAAGAAAAAATGGAAAAGAGCTTTGTTATCAGACGAGTTTTTTTTTATACCGAATCATTTGGAATACCTTTAAAAAGTTGGCGAGAACTATCACTGCAACTTCACCTTTTTTCACTGCTCGGAGTAGATTGTCACGTATACCCACAAAAAACAGTGTAAGTAGAGTGCTCTTTAGGGAATCAACATATTATTAGTATGTTTGAGAGTAGCTACATGTTCACAATAATTGCACCCACGTGAAAGCTGCCGGATAGAAATTAAATTTTGCCATTGAACTTTTACCAATGTAGTGATAACGAAAGGAAATAATATAAGTGTATATTTTTATTACATTTTAATTGTTGTTAACCGTCCATTACAACGTCAAATATCACGGTTCAATGATATATTAAAGCAATTTAAACTCAATTGAATTTGTATCCAGTCACAAGTAAACTACGTCTCATGAATTCTGCACCTCGAGAGATTAATTTAGACACTCGGAATCCCTTGGTTATTAATTTTCAATAAACTTGCTTTCCAACATTTACTTTAAGCTGGCTTACTACGGTATCTATTTTTTGAAGATTGTCACAGAAACGCTGGGCGCAACAAGGGATCCGATATCCTTAATGCTAAGGCAGTCATTTATTCCATACAAAAAAGGCATTAGTAACTGTCCTCATGGCTTTGTCTAGTCCTGGCACGTTATCAAAGTTACGCAGCAGAACTTTCTTCATGGTGGAGTCTTCAACCCATTTCAATCCTTCTTTGGTGTAGTACTCTTCTTTGTAATCAATCGTCAAAAATCTGAGAAAACACAAAATGACACAGAGCTAGCTGGGTAAACTTTTTCATCGATGGGTAATCGCNGTCACGTATACCCACAAAAAACAGTGTAAGTAGAGTGCTCTTTAGGGAATCAACATATTATTAGTATGTTTGAGAGTAGCTACATGTTCACAATAATTGCACCCACGTGAAAGCTGCCGGATAGAAATTAAATTTTGCCATTGAACTTTTACCAATGTAGTGATAACGAAAGGAAATAATATAAGTGTATATTTTTATTACATTTTAATTGTTGTTAACCGTCCATTACAACGTCAAATATCACGGTTCAATGATATATTAAAGCAATTTAAACTCAATTGAATTTGTATCCAGTCACAAGTAAACTACGTCTCATGAATTCTGCACCTCGAGAGATTAATTTAGACACTCGGAATCCCTTGGTTATTAATTTTCAATAAACTTGCTTTCCAACATTTACTTTAAGCTGGCTTACTACGGTATCTATTTTTTGAAGATTGTCACAGAAACGCTGGGCGCAACAAGGGATCCGATATCCTTAATGCTAAGGCAGTCATTTATTCCATACAAAAAAGGCATTAGTAACTGTCCTCATGGCTTTGTCTAGTCCTGGCACGTTATCAAAGTTACGCAGCAGAACTTTCTTCATGGTGGAGTCTTCAACCCATTTCAATCCTTCTTTGGTGTAGTACTCTTCTTTGTAATCAATCGTCAAAAATCTGAGAAAACACAAAATGACACAGAGCTAGCTGGGTAAACTTTTTCATCGATGGGTAATCGCGACTCTCCTGATAGCAACAAATTATCTTGGGCTAAATGCCTGACATAGAAAAGGCAGGACTTATCATTACTTTAAAACTTCGAGATATTTCGGCCGTATTGAGGGGTAATTATGATTAAGAGCTTTCTCTCGAAAAAAATATAAGTGCATTTAAAGAGGTCTGTCTCGCAGGTTAGGTTTAATTGTCGGTAAGGCCATTGAAGTGAAATATCCCCAGCAGTAAGTGCAAGATAGCATAGAATGCCATCTGCATAATTGACAACAATCTGTGTTCGTATTTGCTAACCTATTCAGAAAGTCTAACTCATATTGAGAAAACTCTAAACACCTGTTTACTTTCTCTCCGAAACGGAGATGTACACATATAACCGGTTAGTCTCCTGATAAGCTTAGAGGCACCTTGTTGTGGTGGGAGACTATCTAATATTTGACTACTAATCATTCCTTTCATAACTTAATTTTCAGTTCCCTCCAATGACCACGATCTTATAGAAACATATTTGATTGAACGAAATCTTGGCTGGGAAGAAAAAGAACACAGAAAAACGAAAAACAAGTATTTTAACCAGAAGTTTAAAATAGAATTATTACATTAATTCAAACCGTACCTATCGGTTCTGAGCCGGCGGTTGGCCATGCACAAGAAGAGATGAAACGGTGTATCACCAAACCCGAATCCCTCGGGACGAGCCTCCGCTAAGGAGCCAATCAGGAGGTCCACATCTTCGATTTTACCATTATACGCTTGTCTGAGTTCTGCTGCAGTCGCTGTGTCATTCGTTAGCTTCTCAAAAGTGTCTGGTACTGTTAAGTTAAGCAGGCGTCTAAATTGGTTGTACCGTGGAACTCCTCTCTCACGATCTCTTAAAATGTCAATGGTCGCTAAATCGACAAGCTGAAAGAAAATTTATAAGCAGGGTTAAATTAGGTACGAGGTCATTGACGTTATCATAACATCAACGTTTGATTGACACTGTCAGTTACTGGTCAAGACAAGTTTTTGTTCCTCCATTTTACTCTGTTGACTTCGAGACCGTTCTGTCTATTTGCGACAGTTTGAGGAGCTAATAAGCAACCAAAACTCAGGGGCACCCAACGTCAATCTTCGGAAAATATCTGTTCGGAAGACGATTTGAGATCTAGAATTTTCGGAACATTTGTTGTAAAATGTCCTAGTTGCCTGCCTAGTTTTCAGTTAATAATAAAATCCAAGGCTGTTCTGTCAAGGAGCAGAAAATTAGTCTGAGAAAACAGGAGACGCCATCACTGGTTTCCCTTGGAAATGACGGGTGAGAACCGAATGCAGAAATTCCACACTGATGACGTATGATTTCCAACGTCTGGGAAGCACTTCTTATTGGTATAAAGCAAATTTAGGATCTGTGTACGTTCCTCGGACGTCATTTCGCGGAGAAACCAGTGGCGGCGTCGCTTAATATCGGCTGTTTTCTCCGACTAGCTAAATATTAGCATTGCAGTTTACTGCGTTTTTATGGACCACGACTACGACGTTTCGTTCTACTGAATAAAAGCTATAAAAGAACAGAACCCACATTAACTGGCATTTTCANGTACTGTTAAGTTAAGCAGGCGTCTAAATTGGTTGTACCGTGGAACTCCTCTCTCACGATCTCTTAAAATGTCAATGGTCGCTAAATCGACAAGCTGAAAGAAAATTTATAAGCAGGGTTAAATTAGGTACGAGGTCATTGACGTTATCATAACATCAACGTTTGATTGACACTGTCAGTTACTGGTCAAGACAAGTTTTTGTTCCTCCATTTTACTCTGTTGACTTCGAGACCGTTCTGTCTATTTGCGACAGTTTGAGGAGCTAATAAGCAACCAAAACTCAGGGGCACCCAACGTCAATCTTCGGAAAATATCTGTTCGGAAGACGATTTGAGATCTAGAATTTTCGGAACATTTGTTGTAAAATGTCCTAGTTGCCTGCCTAGTTTTCAGTTAATAATAAAATCCAAGGCTGTTCTGTCAAGGAGCAGAAAATTAGTCTGAGAAAACAGGAGACGCCATCACTGGTTTCCCTTGGAAATGACGGGTGAGAACCGAATGCAGAAATTCCACACTGATGACGTATGATTTCCAACGTCTGGGAAGCACTTCTTATTGGTATAAAGCAAATTTAGGATCTGTGTACGTTCCTCGGACGTCATTTCGCGGAGAAACCAGTGGCGGCGTCGCTTAATATCGGCTGTTTTCTCCGACTAGCTAAATATTAGCATTGCAGTTTACTGCGTTTTTATGGACCACGACTACGACGTTTCGTTCTACTGAATAAAAGCTATAAAAGAACAGAACCCACATTAACTGGCATTTTCACCTCACGCTTGATTCGTAATGCGCAATTACTTGCGTTTCAGTTACCTCTCCTCCTTGGTACTTTGGTATTTTAAGTTTCATCAGTTCGTTGGGATAGTTGTGTAAAACAAGCTGACCCGCTTTTTCCACTCCGAAAGTGTAGAGAATGTCGTCTAACTCGTTCTCATCGAACACTTTTCGTGCATTTCCAAAAGAGTATTTCGGCAGGCTGTATTTCTTTCCTTTTAATTGACCTGAGGGAACGATTTTTCATATAAAGACAAAGATAGAGGCGTTACAAAATTATGTAGCGGTCTTAAATTTATTTATAATTATAACATTTTAGCCAGCTGGGCATCTTAGAAAGGGATTTATTCAAAAAATCATCGATCCTATTTACAAATCGTAGTTGGCTTTTTTCAGCCAGAATGCAAACGAGCCGGTTTACAAACTTAACGCCACATTTAAAACAGTTTTTAATGTGAGCATCCTTGAAGAACCTAGAAGAAGCTTTAGAGGTAGGAATATTCCCAGCAAAATCACTGCATTCTTTTTTTGCAACCCAGAGAAGCATTTGGATCATTTGAATTCCTTGCTTTTGATTGGCCAGAAAAACATTACATATCTTAAGTTACACCGTTACTGCGTGGGAGTTACGGCAGCAGAACGTGTTTTGCCACGTATTTATTTAACCCTTTCACTGCCAGAGCGCTTGATGGAGTTTTGTAAGGTGACTCTAACTTTTGCGTCTGTGGACGAAATCCTATGATATGACCATTCAAATGAAAGCTCTCTGCCTGTACTTTCACATGATGCTATTTGTTTGTCAAAATTTTAGAAGGTGAAATTTGGATTTTGGTCGAAATTTGCCTTTGGCCACATTTGGCAGTGAAAGGGTTAAAAGGCAACAGTATATTTAAAGGCATCACTTTTACCTGTTTTCATTCGGCGAATATTAAGATAATCAGGTAATAACGAATGCATTCGGTAAACAGCCACGAATTCTTCAGTCAAGGAAAATGGAACACCTCTGTAGTCGGGCGGGTTCTTTTGGTGCGATGGAAAACTGTTCGATCCAAGAGTAATATTCATTTCTTTAAGCATTTTTATCACTCGAGGACTCAGCTTGCCGTACCACTGTCCTATCAGTGACTCGTTAATGAAATCCGTATTCAGTATTGCACCAGTCCATTCCAGAGTATGAATCTGGACAATCTGAGCCGTGTTAATGAGCCTGTCATATAGATGGTATTTTATATGCAATCAGTAAAGGCTGGTCTCAGGGTGCGTTCTTAAATTAGAGAGCTTAAGCAAAGACGTTTTTGGACGACGCACGTCGACCGAAAGTGTGCCAAATAAGTATCTTTATCATTCGATGCAAATGTTTTCTTCCTTTTCATTGGCTGAAAGTCTACCACGTGACCTGCAAATAACTGCCTACAAATAATGGTCTGCTCATGCGCAATGTCGTCCAACTGTGTATGGCTGCAAATAATGTTCTGCTTATGCGTAAACGAAACCACGCGTGATACGTTCTTGCGTGAAAAAAGGCAGATCGCTTCGCTTCCCGAAGATATTCATTAAAAAACAAACTTGGAGATCGAATGATAAAACAGTTATTGAACTCGGTTATCACAAAATATCGTGATTTGACAGTGTCTCGCACATCAATTATTTGTCTCATCCTTCGGCTTCAGCAAATAATTGATCTGCTCGCCACTGACAAATCACGATATTTTGCTCAACCTCGTCCAATACTTGTTAATTACTCGTATACAGACGATTTGCGCGAAAATATGGGCAACAATGCAAAACATCCATTTTCGGCTGACGTGCGTCGCTAAAAACTTGTAATCCCTCTTATCCCATTGCTAACGTGCACTTAAGGACTATCATATACTGTTACGTGTGGGAGAATGGGTACAAGCTTTGGGCGCTGTGATTTCTGGGGTAGTTTGGGAGGACAAGCGTTAGATATGATTGGTCGATGGTATTCAAGGCAACAATTAGCCAAATATGAGTAACAATTGTCCACCCAATACATCCCAGAAATCATTGAGCCGAAAGCTTGTACCCATTGCCCCTCTGGTTTCCGGAGTGGGGAATACCAGCTTATAGGGAGCTTAAGCAACGACGACGGCGACGTCAACGAGAACGGCAAAAAAGCCCTGGATATGTTTAGATTGCTAAAACAACAACTTTGCACGTGCATAGTCACACTTTTTTGTACATTTCGTTGCGGTAACTGCACGACTACGACGTGAAACTGCCTAATTTAACGATTTGTCGAGGACAGGAACACAAGAACAACTTTCCTTTACTTTTCCTGAACTTTGATTCAGTCCTTTAGAATTCAATTCCTAAAAATTTGCCAACATTTGACGAATTGGACATGAAACTCTTTAAGTGACGTTTTCGTACCCTTGGCCGTCGTTTTTCTTAAGCTCCCTAATACCGGTACTTGAAAGAAGAGCAGATGATTTCAATTCCATATCACACTGTTTCCCCAGTTTTTATGCAGAGATTAAACAAAAAATGACCCCATTATCTTACTAGAGACCAACCTCGATCAATCACGAAAACTTACGGGGACAGGGCTGTTTCAGAGTGTGCCCCTAGACTGCGGAATTCACTACCATTACATTTGCGTAAGTCACCTTCTTTAACTGGTTTTAAGAGAGAATTAAAAACATATCTTATTTAGGCAATTTTTAGAGAGTGGGTCATTGTTTTTGTAAACTTTATGATTAAGACCTGTAATATAATGATTGTAAATAGATTTTTAATATTTTTTGTGATATGTAAATTACTTCATTTTCCCCTTTTTTACATTGTAAAGCAACATGAGCTCAGGATATGAACGCTATATAAATAAAGTTAATTATTATTATTATTATATTATTACTTCAAATTCATGCGCTGCCTCCTCCCTCAGCATTTACAATAAAACCTGAGAATTTAACTCAAGCAGCGCGATGATATTTATCGTATCCCTGAAGACACAATGACGCATTTCGGAAATATTTTGTCTGATTAAAGAAAAAAGACGTGTAAAGTTTTGTCGTACCTTGCGGTTTGGAAGAGTCGTTCATCTTGACCTTTCCAAGCTGGGCGATTCTTCATCAGCATGTCACAAATGCTGTTGTGCTCTCTTGTGAATAAATTGTGAAGAAGACTAAGTCCAGACCACCAGTTCTTGGACATTCCTGATTACATAAGTATCGAGTTACAATGAAAATGGGCTTGGGTCAGCAGTGAATGAGCAAGTTAGGCACCTTCCACTCGTATCCGGATATTTTTGAAAACGGAGATTTTTTTGTTCTTTTTAGCCTTCCTGCCGTCAACACCTTTACGGCGTTTTCGGGTATCAATAGCGCAGGTTTTCAAGACTTTCCCCAGACTGGAGTTTTTAAAATCGCCGGCTTCTCATTTGCGTCGGTTTTCGAATACGCTGAAAGGTTACTGAGTGCTGGCACTCCGACGCTCTTGCTCCAGCACTGTGCTTTGCGCAAGTTTCCCGTGATAGAAGGTTAAAACATGCCTGATCAGATTACGATCGATAGAAGGTACAAACGCGAGTGATCAGATTGCGTTCGGTGCTTTCCATTTATTCTTAGTGGAAGTCCAAACGAGGCTGGCTACATACGTGACGTGCATGCGTAATAACAACCCGGAGATTAGGACTGGGGCTCCTCATGCCCTCGCAATTGCGCATGTTCAGTAAGGGCTGCTATCATGTTTCCATCATCTTAGCGTTTTCATGTAGACGGGCGAAAACGATTGAAATACGCTACGTGTGGACAGGTATTTTTTTGTGAATGAAGAAAAAGATCTCCATATTAAAAAATATTGGGATACGTGTGGACAGGGACTCAGTTATTCAAGGAATCCAAACATTTTGCAAAACACAAAAGTTCGTTTCGGTTTGGTCGTCGTCGGTTTCTTAGAACCAGTTAAATCATGCATTAGCTATAGTCGAACCTCTCCACAATGGCCACCTTGGGGACAGAAGAAAGTGGCCGAGTATGGGGAGGAAGGGGTGTAATTTGACAAATGTTTTTAGGGGAGTAAAACATGTTTATTGTGCCAAGTTCATGTGTTTCATAATGGCTATCCAAACATAAAAATGATATATAGAGCTAAAATACACACAAAAGACTTAGATTATAATTAATTTTTTGAATCAAATCGTTAACATGGCCAAACGAGCAAGGCTCGCAACATTTGCTTAAAGTATATATTGTACATGATTCATGCTTCGGTGCCGCAGTGTTAAATGGAACGGAATCAAAACGATTGCGTCGATCATCAGCGCGCCATACTGATCAAATTGAGTGACGAAACTGGCCGTTGTCGAGAGGTTTAGGCAGTTGGGGTCGCGCTGTAGTGGCCGTTGCCGTTGTAGAGAGGTGGCCGTTGTAGAAAGGGTTAAGCAAGAGTCAATGTATAGACTGTCCGCCGGGCCGAAAAAAGTGGCCGTTGTAGTGAAGTGGTCGTTTGTGGAGGTTCGATTGTGCTATTGGGGAAAACCACTTAATATTTCGCATCGAAAAAAGATCTAAACAGAAGAATCCATGAAAAAAGGATGGAAGATAAGAGTGCAAGGTATAGGAAGCGGGAAATTTGGTAACCTATCCCCCCTTGATCCCGCTCTACTCTTCAGCTTGATTTAATTAACGTTATAAACAGCTCCATTACCAGTTATGTCAATGTTGGACTTTGGATCCAAGGGAAGAAAGCCTTTGTCATCAACCTTTAATTTGCCGTCAACAAATGATCTGACGCGGTCGTGAGTTTTTCTATCGCTGCCATACAGCTGTGAGCCGTCCCACCAATGTGTCACGTGATTCTGGAACGCCGGTGGTACTGCATCGTTTTTGTCTTCACAAGGGTCTGGTTCGGTGCGACGAACTTTCAATTTATTACCTGCAATTAGGACAAATAATGAATTACACATGCCTGCTGATCTCCATTTGACAGCTCATCAAATTTCAACCAATCAACGCGCGACTTGCAAAAAGCAAAACGACGCCATCTTTCCAAAAACTTGTAATCCCTCTTATCCCATTGCTAACGTGCACTTAAGGACTATCATATACTGTTACGTGTGGGAGAATGGGTACAAGCTTTGGGCGCTGTGATTTCTGGGGTAGTTTGGGAGGACAAGCGTTAGATATGATTGGTCGATGGTATTCAAGGCAACAATTAGCCAAATATGAGTAACAATTGTCCACCCAATACATCCCAGAAATCATTGAGCCGAAAGCTTGTACCCATTGCCCCTCTGGTTTCCGGAGTGGGGAATACCAGCTTATAGGGAGCTTAAGCAACGACGACGGCGACGTCAACGAGAACGGCAAAAAAGCCCTGGATATGTTTAGATTGCTAAAACAACAACTTTGCACGTGCATAGTCACACTTTTTTGTACATTTCGTTGCGGTAACTGCACGACTACGACGTGAAACTGCCTAATTTAACGATTTGTCGAGGACAGGAACACAAGAACAACTTTCCTTTACTTTTCCTGAACTTTGATTCAGTCCTTTAGAATTCAATTCCTAAAAATTTGCCAACATTTGACGAATTGGACATGAAACTCTTTAAGTGACGTTTTCGTACCCTTGGCCGTCGTTTTTCTTAAGCTCCCTAATACCGGTACTTGAAAGAAGAGCAGATGATTTCAATTCCATATCACACTGTTTCCCCAGTTTTTATGCAGAGATTAAACAAAAAATGACCCCATTATCTTACTAG